CATATTCACCCCTATTCCTCCCTCTTAACTTCTTAATCCATCCTTCACTGTCTACCCCCTCCCAATATCAGGTATACATTTTTTTTAAATGCATGGAGTACAATTTGTACTGCCCATATACACATGGGAGTGAGGCCATTCACTCAATTGAGGTCAACCTACCAAGGACTAAATCCTAAAAGCACTCTCCTCACCTAGCAGTCATCAACTGTCAATAGCTCCTAAGTGAACTCCCCCCGCCCCACCCTAATGTTGGAATGTTGACTGGCTTGACCTTGTATGGATATTATGCAGGGAACCTCAGCTGCTAAGGTTTCAGGAATGCAGTAGTCCCCTCATGCCCAGAAGACACTGTTTTGGGCTAGAGAGATGGCTCAGAGGTTAAAAGCACTGGCTTGCTCTTCCAGAGGTCAATTCCCAGCACCCACATGGTGGCTCACAACCATCTGTAATGAGATCTGGTGCCCTCTTCTGGCCTGCAGTCATACATGCTGTATACATAATAAATAAATCTTTAAAAAAAAAAAAAAAAGATACTGTTTCATCCCAATCCTTCCTGATACCTAGCTCTTACAATCTTTTGCCCACACCAGGGCTCATTTTTATGTTTTTAGTGGAAAGGAAAGAGCTCAAAGTTGGTGACTGATTCATGAACTAGTTTATCCAATACAATACAAGGGGATTTGGTATAGCATGCTAGCTTGGGGTTGGTAGAGTGCTAGCTTGGGGTTGGTATAGTATGCTAGCTTGGGGTTGGTATAGCATGCTAGCTTGGGGTTGGTATAGTATGCTAGCTTAGGGTTGTTATAGTATGCTAGCTTGGGGTTGGTATAGTATGCTAGCTTGGGTTTGGTATAACATGCTAGCTTGGGGTTGGTATAGTATGCTAGCTTAGGGTTGTTATAGTATGCTAGCTTGGGGTTGGTATAGCATGCTAGCTTGGGGTTGGTATAGTATGCTAGCTTGGGTTTGGTATAGCATGCTAGCTTGGGGTTGGTATAGCATGCTAGCTTGGGTTTGGTATAGCATTCTAGCTTGGGTTTGGTATAGCATTCTAGCTTGGGGTTGGTATAGCATTCTAGCTTGGGTTTGGTATAGCATGCTAGCTTGGGGTTGGTATAGTGCTAGCTTGGGGTTGGTATAGTATGTTAGCTTGGGGTTGGGTCTGACTTCCTCTTTTTAAGAAGACATTGATGTCATCCATCATGGGGGCACTACTCTTCTGGCGTCACCTAATTCTAACCCTCCCCAAGAGACTTTACCCCAAAATATCATTATCAAGTAGATCTGGGTGTTTAGTTTTCAACACATCACTGCAGTGTACTGCGGTGTACATGAAAAGAACAGGCAGAGGTGATTGCAAAACACAAGCAACATTCCACCTTGATGCTCGGGGTAATGCTAAATACCTTAGTAAAATCCAAGTCTCTGGCTGAAGATATGGCTCAACAGGTAAGGGGACTTCCAGCCAAATATGAGGACCTGAGTTCAGTTCCTAGAGCCCACATGACAGAAGGAGAGGACGAGTCCCCCAAGTTGTCCTCTGACCTCCACACATGTGCTGTGGCACTCCTATCCCTACCCAAATAAATGAATAAATATAATCTAAAAAACACGAACCCAATCTATCTATTCTAAACAGGTAGCAACAGAGAGACTCCAAATGTGTGTCCTTCTGTAACCACTACATGTGCCTTCTGGGGGTTTCTGCTGTGCCTTCCGCCAGAAGGAATGCCACTTCTTCCTCTAGGTGCTCCTTGCTTCATCCTCATAAACTTCCTTCTTAGGGCTCACTGCATAGACTTCATTGTCCTGTCTTCATTGTTTCTCTCTCCCAAGTAGCCTATAAATACTTACAAATAAGGATATCAAACAAATTCAGGATTGCATGTCCAGAACTTAATATGACTGAATGGGCCACGTGGTAGAATTCCGAGAATGCATTCACCTCAGTAGATCACACTTTGTAAGTAGGCTGCCACGTGCCCACTACCTGATAGACATTTGTTCCATTATGCAATCAGGCAAGTGACAAGTAAGACTGCCTTCTCAAAAAGCATGCCAGTTGAAAGAATGAAAGAAAGGATCTGTTAAACATAAATACACAGAGCATTGTTTAGTTCACGTATAATACAGCTGCATGGCTTCATCTTTCTGAGCTTTTATAGTTTTACCCAAATAAATAGCAATAATGGCAAAGCTTTAGATCAGTAGGAGAAGTTAATAAAAAAAATTCTAAGAAGTACTGACTAAACACACAGCATGTGCCACAGTTCACAAAAGCAGCCAACAAATACCTCTTAGGGAAAACAAGAGTACTTCTAAATTTACAGATTTTAAAATCCTATATAGGTGTGTTAAAGAGAAATGGGTTCGATAAATGTACCTAATTCATAGAGTCTTTGATTATCCAAAAAAGCAGTTCAGTTTTATTAAAGTACAATTTTTACTCATGGAGAAACTGAGAGATATACTCACTGTCCTTCCATTGTTTAACATACAGTATATAAAATGGCAGGCTTTTCTTACATGTGTGAGTACGGGCTGGGGCTTATGATGGGGACAGAAAGGACATTTTTAGGCATCATTAGACATCATCATTCTTAGCACCAACTCATAGAGAAACTCCTTACATATAAAGATGAAAAAACATTCCCTTAAGTTCATGTTTCCCAAAACAGTTCATGTGTATTCAAGTAGCTTAACAAAAGCCTATAGGTAAGAACTGGTAGATAAATTTGGGCTCCACATGTAGCATAATATCCCTACCAAAGGTCTCTGTCATAATGTCCAAAACCTACAAATACATTCTGATTTTGAGATAGGGAGAACATCCAGTATCCAGGTAGGCACAACATAGCAACAAGACTTCTTTGTCCCCCTGATGGAAGGAAGGCAGGAGGAAGTGGTAAGAGAGATACAAATGTGATCAATACTAGACTAGCCATAACTGAGCTGGAGAGGAGACAGGAGCTAGGAGCCCATGAATCTAAGAAGCCCTTCCAAGCTAAAAAAAAAGACAAGGAAACAAACTGTCACCTAGAACCTCCAAAGAAAACAGGCCCAGCTAGACACCTTGACTTTAGCCTGATGACATCCATTTTACTCTTCTGACTCCATTGTATGATAGTTCTTGGAGTCTTACAGTTCTATAAGACGACGAATTTGTGCTTTAAGTTGATAGTGGCAGCAATGATAAGAAACTACTCACTCAGTATCTTCCCTACAGACGATGTTTAGAGACAAGTTGCTCAAGGTGTATGTCTGGAGGTTGTGGGTGACGAACAGGCAAAATGTCAAGATTTATCAAATGGAAGCTGCCTATGTGAATTTCTCAAGGCAGAAGCAATCGACTGTAAGGAAATCTTGGAAACTTATCCATTTTTGTGTGTAAGCACATATACTCTTTTCTTTTTACGGAGTTTAGGGCATTCGGGGCCCTAAACACAAGCAAGGGTAGGACCCTTCACAGACATTCCTCCCCAGTTCCAATTCCATGATGTTCTGAGGCAGGGAGTCTCAAAAGTGAGGGCCATCAAAATTCACAAAGAGCGTAAGGAGCAGATGCCTAAGTACCATCTGAGTCAGCGTTTCTGCTAAGTGTAGGGAAGTTCAATTTTAACAAATGAAGATGAGAACAGAACAGGGCAGAGAAAGTGTTATACACCATACTGTTAAAGATCACTACTGAGGGGGCATTTATGAAACACACCAAAAATGACTTAGGTAAATCGTTCCCGTTACCCACTCTTCAGGAACCCCAAAGCACCCGTTTTACTGCATAAACTGTGTTTTTGTTTGTTTTGTTTTCTGGGCCTCAGACAGCTTAGAAAATGTGGGCAATGCCTATTGCACTAGAGGGTGCTAGGAATGATGACTTAAATGTCTAACGATCCCTAAAAATGTCTTCTCTGTCCCCATTCTTAACCCCAGCCCATACTCACACATATAAGAAAGGCCTGCCATTTTATATACTGTATGTTAAATAATGGAAGGACACTGGGTAGATCTCCGAATCCAATATCATTACTTAAGAATAATTTTATGTAAGAGGCTATATTTTATGAATATATATTTTATGAATCTCATGCTATACGTTTTACTTGAAACACACTGGTCATGTCTGTGATTCCGTATTTATAAAGTCTTGCATGTTGCAAAGGAGCCATTGGGCGGAGTAAGATTTAAGGTTTCCCAATAAGGACAGGCCTTTTGAATGAATAAGGATGGGTAATAGTGTATGGGCAGCTTTATTACGTTAAAGATGAATAAAAAACTTAAAAGAATCTGACATGTGACTGAAAAAGGTCTAAAACATGGGGATTTAAAACAGATCCCCTCTCGGTAACATCAGAATAATCCAAATTCCCAAGCAAGGTCACAGAGAAGCCATATAGCCCTGGTGGCTGGGGCCGAGTCGAGCTCTCCCAAGTCTGAGGCTGGTCCTTTAACGCAAGCCATAGGCTAAGTCAGAAGACCCGTTCCTGGAGGAGGCTGAAGGGAAAGGGGAGACTCGGCACCCAGACTCACAAAAGCAGGTCCCCAGACAAGAACGCCCCTGATCCAGGCCCATTGCTCAGCTAAAGAGAGAGTTGAGCGAGCGCCAGCCACTCACCCTGCAGCAGCTGAGTGCCATGAAACCACCTCCAGCTCGCTCCACGGCCGACAGACCACGCAGCAGCACCCTGAGCCAGGCCCAGGCTTCGACGGCTGCCGAAGCCCAGGAGGTAACGTAGCAGCGGTAGGTCACAGCGCAGCCTCCAGGAGGCGGCCATCTTCCCGGCCTTCTCCGGGACTGCTCGCAGCGCGGATAGATCGACGGCCCCAAGGCCCGCCCAGGCCCCGCCTTGCATGGGCTAGCCCCGCCCACAACGCGCGTTCCCGCACCTTAGGACTCGAGGAACAGCCTTCCTAGCACCTCCTCCAACCTTCATGGGCACGCCCACTGGCAGGTCTGCGCCGGCGCAGGTTCTCCCAATAGGCGAGGCGCTCTCAGGTCCCGCCTCTCACTCTTGCTCCGCCCCGAGGCTGCCCGCTCAGCCGCTTAGTTGAGTTTATACATTACGCTTAGGCCTGGAAAGAACGTGCGGCGGATAACCGAGCGGACTGTCAGAACCATGTCTGGCTGTCACGCTCAAGGAGACTGTTGCTCGCGGCCATGCGGCGTGCAGGTAAGGACAGTGGTCTACGGCACGCGGGGTGGCGCTTCAGGCGCTCCGGATGCCTGATCCCCAGCCCAGTCCGAGGTCCCTCCTTACCCCTAGTAGGGCTGCTCAACCTGAACTCTCCCGGCCTGTCTTACATGACATTATGAAGAAGGAGATCATGGAAATGATTCTTCTTTAGGAAAAATGAGCCCGCAGGGTGCTCATTTTCTTTCAGTTTTTCTTTCAGTTAAACATGCCACAGTCTTATGGCCTGCCTTCTACGTGCTATGAAAATGGTGAACAACAGAACTAGAAGAATAAACAGTTTCGATACTATGTGATAAGCCACGAAATTACCTCCTTTTATTAGCCTTTCTTCGGACCAAAGGTCTCAATTAAAAATAAAACACAGGAAATTTTTAGTGCAGAGCATTTGTCAGCCATTATTGTTCTTGAATAAGTGGCTTTTCGCAAATTCATAAAGAAAACCTTAAAGTTAGGCAAGATTGAGAGGGAGATCTTCATAAACGACACAGGTCATTGGTGGCCATCCCTAGGCAGGTGTATGTGAAAAGTAAAAGCAATATATCAGAATCATTGCTAAGATGTCTTGATAGCAGAAGTGTTTATGTCCCCAATTAGTAAATCTTGGTGAAGGTCATCATAGACATACAGATTTTTTTTTCATCCTAAATATTTTGCCAGATTGGCAAATTAAGCTGTGATCCAAGAGCTGTGATTGAATTTACCAAAACAGAAAGTAGCCACACACAAAAAAGAAGATGGAAGTATTTTTTATAAACAGAAAAAGAGAAAGGTAGTTTCAGATGGTGATTCATGAAAAATGTTATGAATACCTAGCATTTTATTGACACAGATTTTGAGGAAACCCAACAGACAACTCTAAGGCCACCTTGACTGGACATCCTATCACATGTCTCTAGCATTTTCTTGCTGTGTGGAGGTATGGGCTCATCATTAAATTCTGCTCTTTTGAGGGAAACTAGAAAGTCACATTTTGTATGAAATCTCTTGATTTAAAAATATTGCTTGGTTTCTAAGTATTGTACAGATCAAATAAACAACTTGCTGTAAGTCTGGTTTGGTCCATGTCCTAGTCAGGGATGCTATCGCTGTGGTGAAACATCATGACCAAAGCAACTTGGGGAGGAAAGTGTTTATTTGGCTTACACTTCACATCACTGTTCATCATTGGAGGAAGGCAGGACAGGAACTCTAACAGGGCAGGAACCTGGAGGCAGGAGCTGATTGATGCAGAGGCCATGGAGGGGTGCTGCTTATTGGCTTGCTCCTCATGGCTTGCTCAGCCTGCTTTCTTATAGAACCCAGGACCATTAGTTCAAGGATGGCCCCACCCACAATGGGCTGAGCCCTCCCCCATCAGTTGCTAAGAAAATGCCCTACATTGATGTTAGGTTCCCTCCTCTCAGATTACTATAGCTCCTATCAAGTTGACCTCAAACTAGCCAGCACAGACACCTAACTACTTTTTCTCTTGGTTAATTTATATGTCTTTTGTTTGTTTGTTTGTTTGTTTGTTTGTTTTTCGAGACAGGGTTTCTCTGTGTAGTTTTGGTGCCTGTCCTGGATCTCGCTCTGTAGACCAGGCTAGCCTCGAACTCACAGAGATCAGCCTGGCTCTGCCTTCTGAGTACTGGGATCAAAGATGTGTGCCACCACCGCCCGGCCTATATATCTTTTAAGACTTATCTACATGTTACCTGCTTGGAGGTCTTCACCAGCAGGGCATGAAACAAGCCAGCATAGTCCACAAGATATAAGTTTGAATCCTTTGATATAACAATATAAGGCTTTTCTTAATGGAAGAAATGTGATCTTAGTTTGTCCAATGTTTATTGAGAAAAACACTGTAGTAGGTATAACTTACCAAGAACATGTTTCTTACTCCTTAGAAAGCCAAACCTGAGGAGAAAACCCAGGAAGGCATCACTTTTATTTTTTTATTTTGCCTTATCTGTCATGATCTCCTATAAATAGTGACTGTAAGGTTCGATTTGGTTGGGTCTGACCCAGATTGCTCTTTTGTGTCAGAGATAATCAGGAAAGTTATTAACAACACACAGCACAGCAGAGTTAGAACAGAGGTCAGTCCCAAGAGACACAGCGGAATTCCCCCTCTTTCAGGGTTCTGAAAAAGAGAGAAGGCCCATGTAGTTAATGAGTAGTAGATGTTTGCAGTCAGTTTGCCTCTGATTTCCTGGACTGAGGAGAGGGAAAACATTTGGCCCTTCCTGACTTCAGAATCACAGCAGAGTTCTTGTCATTTCACTATAGCTATGAGGATGAGACACTGTGGGGGCCTGCTAGCAACGTGGAGGTGGAGGTGGAGGCAGCTGCACGTGGCCGTCACTTAGTCTAACATCTAGCAGTGACCCTGGTTGATCTGTACTAACACTACAACCAAAGGCCACCTGGATCCCTGCCTCCTGTTGTCCTTGATCTCAGCAGGCCGCCAACCTTCACTCAGTCTAACCCTGGCCATGTCTGCCCTGACCAATCCCTATCTGTTCATCACACACGCTTTTCTTTCTCATCCCTCTCTGAGTATCCTTTACACTATATGGCAACTAGTGCCTTTCCTAGAATGTCTCTTCCCTAAGCTGCTGAGAACTCATAAGCGGGAAGGCTAGGTCAGCTCTCTGATACGGTGAGTCTACACACATGATAGTGTCCTGCCCTGGGTGCTGTCCCTCTGGGGAGCTGCCTTTTGTGCTGTTTTAGGTGGCTAGTCCAGAACCTTACAGTCTCTCTTCATCATCTTCAACAGGCTCCAGGCCTGTTGCCCCTGAAATTGCAATGACAGGAAAAGCTGTTAGATGTAAACTTTTCAACGTTAATTTCTTTTTTCCATCTACAGCATAATTTCAAAGCAAAGGACTGGGGATCTATAGCCGTACGGCCTGGATTCAAATCTTGGCTCTGCCGTTAGTATCTTGTAGTCTTACACAAGCTCATCTTTTAGTATAGTAGGGTTGGAATTATTCCATACAGTTTTAACAGTCACAGAATAAGCACCCAATAAATGTTGGCAATTCCTCTTGTTGATAGTACCATGTATTTACCTGTGTCTTCATTCTTCCCCTGGTTGAAGGCAATTACCTCCCTGTTCTCCTAATCTCTCCCCCTGCACAAGAGAACCTATCTATTAGGCCATAGCTCTCCTATTCCTTCGGTCTCTTCTTGTCCTCTAACTCTGCCTATCTATCATTTGGATGCGGACTGTCCCCAGAGGCCTATGTGGTAAAGGCTTATCCCCTAGGTCTGCACCATTTGAAGGTAGAAGCACCTGTACACGGTGTACAAGGTGGGACTAGCGAGAGATCCTTGTGTCATTGGCCATGTGACCCCAAAGGGCACGGTACACCCTATGTACCTTCTCTCTCTTTTTCCTCCTGGCCATTAGGTGAGCCATCTGTGCCACCATGTTCCTGTTACCATGAATACCCTGCACCCCAGCAAAGGCCTAAATAGCAGACCCAGCTAATCATGGACTGGAACCTAGAAAACGAAGCCAAAATAAACCTTTTCTCATGTGAATTATCACCGGTATTTTGTTACAGTGTCTGAAAAATGATTACTACTACATATATAGGAAACTGTCTGTATTGACTTTTTCAGTCTGTTTCCTTACCTAGGTCTCCCCACCATAGCAACACTACTGAAAGAGTCTTTAGAACTTTATGCCTGCAAATGTCACTTACTTCTAAATGATGTAAATGAAACCCACTTTGGTCTGGCTTCCAAATCCAATTCTTCAAAGTATTTGTTACTTAGGGGGGCCAGTGAGATGGCTCAGCGGCGAAAAGTACTTGCTGCCAACCATGACAACCTGAGTCATGTCCCCAGGACACACGTGGTAAGACAGAACCAATTCCTGCAAGTTGTCCTCTGACCGCCCAGGTGCCACACACACACACACACACACACACACACACACACACACACACACACACACACAACTGAATAACAATTTTGAAAAATGTTCCTTAGGGTAATTAAGGCTGACTCAATTTACAGACACCCTTGGGCCTCATGCAACCCTCAGCCAGAACCCTGCTGTGCTTCCAAGGAGCTGAATGTAGTTAGGGAATGTGCCACAGCTGTGCTCATTAGTCTCCCGTCCTCCTGGTTCTGTCACCCTCCAAAGGGTCCTCACACTGCCAACAGCACTTCCGTTTTCCCAGCAGTCTCTAGTGCCCCCTCCCCACAGTGACTACTTTTATCTTTATGTGCATCCCTTGTTGCTCCTGGTGCTTGAGGTCGGGATCAGCTATTTCCAGGTTCTTCACTTCTTATTCAAGCAACTGAAATAAAAGTCCACACTGATTTGCAAAAGTCCCCAGGAAATGTTGAAGCAAAGCAATAGAGAAGATCAGAACACACTACAGTGGAGTGATGTTCCTGTGCATGAAGATACTCAAGGACCCAATTATCAGGCTTCCTTTTCCAGAGTTCGGGGAGATTGGTGACTAAGGGGCATAATGAGGGTGGCTCAAATGATTGATAAGTTGGATGACGTCATTTTTCTACTGTGCATGCCCTCTAGCTTCCTCACTCTTCAGTTTTTCAATCTTCCAAATCCATTTCCGGTGTCACCCCTGCAATTTCATCTCTGAAGTATTTTGTGACCTTCTTCCTGGTCTGGTCTTGGCTTTCATGCTCACTACCCTTCAGTGTCTTTTCTCCACTACCATAGTCAGGTGTCTGAAGGCAGGGTATGAGGGTTGGGGAGATGGCTGAGTGAGCTCAGTAGCCACTGAAGCATGCCAGCCTAAATTGGATCCTCAGCGTCCACGTACAAGTTGCATGCGGAGGCCACATTCCTGTAAGCCCTGGAAGGGAAGATGAAAGGATTATTCCCAGGACCTGCTGGCCAGTTAGGCTAGCTGAAACAGTGGCCTCTAGGCTTAGAAAGAGAGACCCTGTCTCAAAAATAGTTGGGGAGGATGACTCAGTGGTTAACAGCATTGGCTGTTCTTCCG